TGAACTTGTGCTTGCTCTGTCCAAGGGTGTGTTGAGCAAGAGAGGAAGGTTTCCCACACCAAGAAGAAATGTCAGACTGCATGATTTGATCTTGGGCCTGAATTTGTGAGCATGGATGTCTCTTGTTGGTTGCCACTGTGTTGTCTTAAACTTGTTCCAAAGCCTAAGGCTAGGGAGACCGTCCACTCATGGGAGGGCCTAGAGCTTTCTGTGCCATGTTTCCAGCTAGTTACATCCAAATGGGGTAGCAGCAACAGGTAAGCACTCCACATAAGCTAGTTTCCAGTAGATTCACTCAGTCACACATGGGTCCTGCAGTACATGTAGAAAGGTCCATCAGCAGGTGGGGTGTTCACATCCATGGTCTCCTGTGGGACCTCTGGTCTCTTGACTAGCAGAATGTGTGTTTGTGGGGGATGTGATTCGCTTGCACTCAGTTCAGAGCTGGTAGGCACTGTGTCTGGTCTCTCTTGCCCAGGAGCACAGGATGATCTGAAGAAAGTGACCAAGATAGCCTACTCCATGGTGAAGCAGTATGGAATGGTACCCAGCATTGGGCAGGTCTCCTTCCCAGACCTGGATAGTGCACCTGGAATTGGTCGGCGCCCTTTCAGCCAGGGACTTCAGCAGATGATGGACCATGTAAGGCCACCCTTGTTTACACATTCCTGGTTTTGTTCTTCACTTCTGCAGCTCGGTGAAAAAAAACTTGCACCCAAACAGTTCATGTTTTTCTGTTAGCCATTGGGGAGTGAATTTCTAGTGAGTTTGTTTCCCTGGGATTTGTGCTGAGCTGCATCTTTTGCTACCAGACAGCCTCCTTAATTACACTGCGTTTCCCACCATCTGGGACTCTACTGGGGAGTTGTGCTAGTGCAGGAGTTCGCTGTTCCTTATCCTGAATATTCCTCTGTCTGCTTTTCACATGGTTTGTCTGTATTTTCTGTTGATGGGAACCACTTTCTGCGTGTCTCAGTCTGCAGATTCTGTCCCTCAGTTATCTACGTTGTGTTTGTTGCACTCCAAATGTCTCTTTCCTTTTTACTGTCTTTTAGGAAGCAAAAGTCCTGGTGGCTCAGGCTTACAGGCGCACAGAAAAGCTCTTACTGGAGAACAGGGACAAGCTACAAATAGTAAGTTGGAGGGGAGGGAGGGGAAGGGTGGTTTTGGTTTTTTCACCTGTTACTTCTTTGCCTTGCTACTTTCTGTGCTCTCAAGCTCAGCTGTTGCAGTGTCTCTGTGGTCCTACAAAGTCTTGTAGAGGGAATGCTGGGGCTCATGGTGTGAACAAGCAAGTACTGCAGACGCCCCAGATCAGGAGCAGGTGCAGGGAGGAATGTGTGCTCTTCCAACAGCAAGTAGTCTGCCTCCAGACACCAGCTGGTATTTGCAGGATAGAGGAGTAGGAGTGCTCTGTGGAAGTGATCACTGCTGGAATCTGTCCCCCTCACCTGCACTTCTCTGCTAGCCTCTTTGCAGTGTAATTTCCTGTAGAGCAGACTGACTGTTCTTGTGAAGCCCGCAAATGCAGGAACAGCTCATCCTTCCAGGTCCTGTAGGTGCACAGGAACCGAGTGGGCTGTTTCTGGCTTTGATGAAAAGAATATAGGACCTGTCACCTTGGATGACTGGTGTTGGTTCGTGCTTTCTGGGGACTCCAAGCAGTTTTCACCTGCCACCTCCTTGATACCTGGTATAACAAGGAATCCTTATTGCAGAGGTAGAGCTTTGCCTCCTCCCCTCTGTCCTGACAGTCCCCTCACCAGTCACACTGGCATGTCCCCACCACCTCAGCAGGAGCTCTGTACCCATTGCTCTGGGCTGAGCCACACTTGGGTCACAGCACCCTGTGTATCTACTTGATGTTTCCTTCAGAAGTCTGGCCCATAACATCCAAAATAACCAGCAGTCAACTCAGTGTTGCATGTTTTGCAAATAAAGCAATTATTTTATTTAAATCTTCTTTTTAAACAAACAAGAACAATGACAACAGCAAAAACCCCTTCAGCTACACAACTCCAGACCTTCTGTGTGTAGTAAGGTAGCCAGAGCAGTCTTGCTTAGGCACCCTGCTGTTGGCCATATCTCAGCCCTGTCCACAGGACAGTGCCCAGGGAGAACTCTGAAGGCAAGCCTTGTTAGAGGGGTCTCTTCTCTGCAGGCTTCTTCTCTTCTGTTGCTTTCATTTAACAGCAGTCAGATGTTTGCTACAGGCTCATCACAATAAAACTTTTAAGTTAAGCCAAAGTATCTACAGGGTGAACATTTCAGTTGCCAGGCCAGTGTATCACATCTTGTCAGCAGAGTTTAGCAGTTCCACGTTTGACAACCACCTGCTGCTCAAGTGCAGCCCTTCTGCTGGCAGAGGGGCCAGAGCATTCAGCTTTGCTGGAGAGGAACTTATGATGACCTTCAGCCCACGCCTGCAGGAACAGACAGCTCTTTGTTGTCACTGTGTGTACATTGGAGGGAAGCGGGTCTGACCACAGTCTCATGCGCTGCTACTTTGCATCTTAGGCAGGTCCATAGGTGCAGTAACAGTGGCAGGAAGGGCTTGTCTTCAGTTATTCCTGGAGTTCTGACTTGAGAAATCATTCCCTAGAACTTGTTTTATTGCCTTCAGTCATGCTCTGTATTCCTGGACAAATATGCTTTTGTGAAAGGTGGAGAACTAAGGTGGCTTCTGCAGGCTCTGGGGTCCCACCGTCTGTGCTGTGGTAGTCAGGGTTCAGATACTAAGATCTTTGTTGAGCTGGCAGGGAGAGTTCAGATCAGTTCAGAGACTGTTTTTCAAACCCCTGTGCCTCATTATATCTTGTTTACTCTTTCTAGCTGTCTAATGCCCTCCTGGAGAAAGAAGTGATAAATTATGATGACATTGAAGCCTTAATTGGGCCTCCACCCTACGGCCCAAAGAAAATGATAGCTCCTCAGAGCTGGCTTCAAGCAGAGAGAGACAAGCAAGAGACAAGAGATGAAGAAATGCCCCAGCAGCCACCCAACCATGAGGAGGAGGAGGAACCACGTCTGAGACCAGTATGAAGCCCACTCCTGATGTGGAATGGGAGGACTTGAGAGGCTTATTTTGGACACAGACCTTTTCCCTTTTCCAGAATTAAAGATACTGAATAGGGAATCTCTGTGCTGCTGTTAACCAAAAAAATTGGCTATGTTGGCTCTTTTAATGAGCTTTTACTGCAGGAAGGAGAGCTCCTTAGAACTTTGAAATTGATTCTCAGCAGGGTAGTAGTGATTAGGAGTCGGGTAAGTCTAATCCACTGGAAAGATTTCTTGTACACAGCAGTGATGTACATGGTCTTAAGGGTGAAAAAGATCCCGTGGAGTCTTTATAAGCCACCTCTAGCTGTGCTGTGATGCATGGCAGGAGTGCAGGGCTGTCCCTTCAGCGTGAGGACAGTCATATAGTGAAACCCCAACATAGCTGAGGGGGTGTAGTTGCTGTGTGACTCTGCTGTCACCTTTGATCACTGTTGCTGCTGAACATTAAAATAGAAGCTGAAAAACAGACTTCACTAGAATAAACTATCTATAATGTGCTGATGTGCTTGTAGAGTATGTCAAGATGATAACATGTTTTGGCACATAGAAAGCTTATTACAGCTGCAGAGTTGCACAGGACAGGGGGTTTCTTCTCCCTGGCCAGTAGCTCGTATTCAGTTTTCATAGCATGTGTCTTGCAAGCAGAGATTGAGGAAAACCTATGTGCAGAGCCCAGTGTTAGCCTACAGTGTGATGTTAGAAGCTAGCGTGGCAGAGAGTGGCTCTGAGTTACACATGCTGGCTCAGAGCAGGAGAGGTGCTCTCAGGAACACAAACAAAACCATGGCTGTTTGTTGGGAAGCTGCAGTGAAAGGCTGGCAGTTCCCCTGGCTCTATTCTCGTGGCTCTTGCAAGGCAGGCTCTGGTGACACAGCTGTCTGCCCTTCATCAGCAGGAGCATTAAAACTGTTCTTGCTGCTTAGTGGGCTCTGCATGGGTTAATTTTTTAGGAAGGATTGTTGTCTTGAGGATTTTCTGTGACCTGAAAGACTGCAGCGCAGTCTAACAGCTTTCAGCCCTCAGTTGACTGAGTGTCTGGAAGCAGAGCCTCTTATTTCCCTGGATGACAGGAGGGTGTTCTTCAAGGTGTCCTCTTCCCTGCCCCATCATGGAGCCACCTGCCACCACCAACCCTTGAGCCCACCCCCTGGACCCCCTGCTGGTGGGGGTCATTTCCTTTGCCTTCCTACACTTGGGATATTGCTGCCTGTATGTTTTAATTCCAAACCTGTTTGTTTCTTCACAAGTTCATCCTTGAATTTGCTTTTTCATCAGCAGATGAAACGTCAATTGGTGTTTGATATTTTTGTGAGGACTAAAGTCTTTGCCAAGGGGATTCACTTGCGTGGAGCTGAGGGGTGACGGCTCTAGTGGTGGGACATGGGGATGTTTCGGGGGACAGCGCAGGATGCTCGGTGGCTGCCACTGTGCAGCCGCTGTGGCCACGCTCTATGGCGGCTGCCCCCGCTCCTCGGCTGCTGCAGGACACGGTGCGTGGTGGCCCCCGACCCTTCCTCGTGTCCCCCCCCTTCCCCAGCCTGCTCACGGTGTCCGAGCCCTGCTGGGGCGCGGGCCCTTTAAGCCGCCGCCACGTTTACTACGGGCGCGGTGAAGCCGCCGCCAGGCGCTTCCGCTTCCGCCCTTCTCGGCACTTCCGGCGTGCGCGGCTTCCTGCCTTCCTTTTCCGGTCGGCCATTAACGGCAGCGGGAGGTGAGTGGGGAGCTGCGGCCTTCGGGAACTGCATCCGCCGCCATCCGCCGCCATCCGCGGCTCAGGGCCGGGCCGCGATGTGCACCGGAGCCCTGCGCGGTTCTGCGGGATGCTGCGCCTGGGCCCGGAGGAGGCTCCGGTCCTGGACATGGGGCCTTGCCCCGGGCGGGGTGGTGGGGGCTTGGGGCGCTCCGGACTTGTCCCGGGGGGGGGGCGGGGTGCTCCGCTTTTAGACGTGCCCGTGTCCGCAGGCCGCAGCAGCCATGGCGCCCAGCCGCAATGGCATGATCCTGAAGCCCCACTTCCACAAGGACTGGCAGCGGCGAGTGGCCACATGGTTCAACCAGCCCGCCCGCAAGATCCGCAGGTGAGGGACGGCGGGGCCGGGGGGGGCTGTGCCTCGTGTGGGGCTGCTTGGGAGGCTGGAGAGCTGCGTGGCTCTTTCCGGGTGTTGCCCCCAGGTTACGTGTTGGAGAGCTGGGGTTGCCGCTTTGGTGCGGGGTGGCTTTGGTCAGGGTCAGGCCGTTCCGGCTGCAGTCAAGTGATGAGACATCTCCGGAATCGCTGTACGACATTGATGATTCCCTTGAACCCTTTTGTGTCTGATGACTGCAGCTGTTCTATAGAAGCATCCAGGAGCCAGAGTAGCAATGCATTTGTGTCTGAGAGATTCCTGTATGGCAGGAGCCTTACCTGCAGGGCTTATCAGCTGGCAGCGCTGGAGTGGTGTCAGAGAAGGCCATAAAGATGAGCCAAGGGGTGGAGCAGCTCTCTTGTGAAGGCACGTTGAGGAAGCTGGGGTGGTTCAACCTGCAGAAGATTCTAGAGAGACTTTAGAGCAGCTTTCAGTGCCTGAATGGGCTGATAAGAAAGCTGGGAAGGGGCTTTTGACAAGGGCAGGTGGACATGGGTAAGGGGGAATGGCTTTAACCTGCCAGAGGGGAGACTGAGATGAGCTCTTAGGCAGAAGCTCTTCCCTGTGAGGGTGCTGAGGCGCTGGCACAGGGTGCCCAGAGAAGCTGTGGCTGCCCCATCCCTGGCAGTGTTCAAGGCCAGGTTGGACACAGGGGCTTGGAGCAAGCTGCTCTAGTGGAAGGGGTCCCTGCCCGTGGCAGGGGTTGGAGCTGGAGGAGCTTTAAGCTCCCTTCCAACACAAACCAGTCTGTGATACCTTGATTTGTGTTTCTCATCCCCGTCCTGTTTCACATCCCAGGAGGAAGGCCCGCCAGGCAAGGGCTCGGCGCATCGCTCCCCGTCCTGTGGCTGGGCCCATTCGGCCTATAGTGAGGTGCCCTACGATCAGGTACCACAAAAAAGTCCGCGCTGGCAGAGGCTTCAGCCTGGAAGAGCTTAAGGTAAGTATAGCACGCTGATCCCAACCCAGTCAAATTCACTCCATGCTGAAGCTTCTTGTCTTGGCCTGTTCTTCCATATATAGACCATGTGCCAGGCTGTCAGTATTTGGTGGCACTGGCTCAGCTATAGGAGACGTGGAGAGTTGCTGCTCTACAGGGGCACAGAAAACACTGGTCTTGCCTTTCCTTTAACCAGCGGGTGGCGTTGCAGTGTATGTCAGAGTGAAATGTCCTTTTTGCCTGGTCACACTGTTAAAGTCCTTTTCTGAAGGCTCTGGAAGAGCCTTCATTGAGTCTCCTCAGCTTCTTTCAGGGAGTGAAAAGCTAAAAGCCTCTTCATTAATTTCTTTTGTTATTTTGAAACATGTTTCTGCTTATCCCAAAAATGTTAACCCAACATGAACCTGTTCCTGTTGCGGACAGAATAAACCATGTTCAACTTACTTCAAGAAGGTAGTGTTGCCAGGACAGGGACCTGTGCACCATAGTTTCACATGCATGAGACCATTTTTCATGCAGTAGCTATGAGTTGGTTTAGGAACACTGTAAATCCTGTGGGATTCAGGAACTTTTCCTGTGACATTCCCAGATGCGCTGAGCCGATGAGCAGTTAAAGCTGGATTGTGGAACTCCCACCCATGTATCTCCTCGCAGTGGGCAGAAATAATCACCAGGGCTTGCTGGCAGCCCGCAGCTGCCTCTTGTGTGTTATTTAGCATTTAATTAAAACATTTTTGACAGTGAAATTAGTGCATTGAAACAGTAAAGTTTTTCTGGATGTCAGATGCTTCATTACTTTTTCTTTAATTTTTGGATAGTGGTGGAATACAAAATGATATGCAGATGTTTGTCTTTAAACAGAAGATGAAGTTATTTCCTGCTTAAGAGGGTTACAAAAAAATACTTATTTACTGGAGATTACTGTATGAGGTGAACCAGAACTATCTGGGCAGTGACTTGATAAATATCTGTCTTGTGTGTATCAGAGTTTAAACGTCCCCCTTGTGATTACTTGGGGTTGTGCTTTGCTCTCATGAGGAAATCCCACTGCAAAAACCACTGTAAATTCAGTGTAAATTCACTGTAAATTCAGCACTAAAACACAGACACCCTGTTGCCCGTGACACGTGGGTCCCTGTTCCTCACCCTCACACTGCCAGTAGGATGCTTGGTTAGATGTGGTTCTCCACGCTCTGCAGCCCTGATGACCGCACCTGGATGATTCCCTGGTTAATGACCAGAGCGGCTCCCGGCAGTGGCACTGGGGCTTGTCAGATGCTGACACCACACACTCTACTCTCTCTTCAGCTCGCTGGCATCAACAAAAAGTTCGCCCGGACTATTGGAATCTCTGTGGATCCCCGGCGACGTAACAAGTCCACGGAGTCCCTGCAAGCCAACGTGCAGAGGCTGAAGGAGTACCACTCCAAGCTTATCCTCTTCCCAAGGAAGCCGGCTATGCCGAAGAAGGGAGACAGCTCTGTAAGTAGTTGGCTGCTACAGATGTTTAGAATCACAGAACAGTTTTGGTTGGAAGGAGCCTTCAAAGGTCATCTGGTCCACAGTTTCCCAGGGTCTGTTCCTGATTGTCAGTCTGCCCATCCCAGTGCTGTGTGGTCAAGCAGTGTTTGTTGAACTAGGGACTGCCAGGGTGCTGAAGGAAGCCCTCAGACGTGGGGCCTGACCACTTGAGTAATCTTTTCAGAGTATGATGCTAAATAGAGTAGCTGAAAAGTCTGCATGAAGTTCTGGTCTGCCTTGGAAAGGGAGAGGAAAGCAAGGGCAAACTCTTCAGTAGAGTAGTTCAGCGAAGGCCATGTGCAGGAAAGTGTTTAGGAGGTTGTTGCTGTTGACTCACAAAAGTGCTTTTCATTAAAATCCCACCAAGATGCAGAATATGATTGGTCCCTTGGCTTTGCCCATGGTATGTGTTTGCCATGGGAAACGGTGGCGTGCTCAGCCTGTCCTCAATCTTCTGGAGAGTCAGTTTTGAGCCAGTCGCCCACAGCAGAGCCCACCACGCTCAGGAGGCTTTTTGAAACGGGAGGAAGGGCATGAAGCTACTTTGCCAGTAGGTAGATGCTGAAATACTGTTCCAAGTGTCTTTACTTAAAATCAGCTATCTAAAACAAAACTTGAATCATTTTTGTTTCACGGCACACTCTTACAAGTAGCTGGACTTATCCTTAGGAGGAATTGCTGCAGAACATACTGGGTATCAAACTAAAACGGGCACGCTGGATGTCAATGTTTTTCCAGCTGGCAGGACATCAGAAGGCCACTGCCCCTTTGGTCAGATCCGGGCTGATGGATAGCCAGGCAGAGCAGGGATTGTCGATGCGGCACGGCTGTGCCTGAAATGCTGAAGTTGTTATGAGTCAGTGTTAAATCTCCGGTCAGAGTTGTTAACAGTGCATTGAGCTGGGTACTGGTGCTCAGTGCACGCTTCTAACCCAGCTGCCAGCCCAAGGAGTTTTAAATGCTGCTTTTTCCGTGATGGGTTTTGTCCTCTTGTTCCACAGGCTGAGGAACTCAAGATGGCAACTCAGCTGACTGGACCGGTTATGCCGATCAAGAATGTAAGTGTGGCTAAATTGTGTTTTCTGTGTGATAATTGAGACTCTATGGAGAGGATTCTCCTGCTGTTCTGCAGCTCAGTGTTGCTGTCTCCAGACACTTCCCGTCTTGGGGCAGAGAAAAGAAGCAACAGGTCAACCTCATCCTTTTGCCACAAGTACTTCGGTCTGTTTATTTCCTCCCTGTTGCAAAGCAGACTGCGAAGGACTAATTAGTTGGAGCTCTGCTAAACTTAATCAGATGAGAAGGTCCTTAAATCGTGTTCTGGAGAAGAGCTTCAGTGTCAGGGGTTCAGATGCGTTGGTTGGAAATAATCACGTGTAGTCAGCACTTGTCTCAAACCCCTGCTGCTTCCAAAAGGCGCTGTTGGTGTGTGTTAGCACCACACACCTGACTCAGATCCCATGTTGGGCTTGTTTGGTGGGGTTTTTTTCCCTGGTATGTTCTGGCAAATCAGGAATGGGTTGAAATGGGGTGCCTGACTGAGTGATGCTGAGGGCAGGGCCTGTAGATGGCACAAGTGCTCTGTTCACAGCACCACGGAGCGAGTGATGGAAACGGAGCGAGATTAATTGTGTTGAGCTTTGAACGTGGTCCCTGGGAGGCTCTGGTGTGCAGCCTGACTGTCTGTGCTCTCTCCACCAGGTTTTCAAGCGGGAGAAGGCTCGTGTTATCTCGGAAGATGAAAAGAACTTCAAGGCTTTCGCCAGCCTGCGCATGGCTCGAGCCAATGCCCGGCTCTTCGGCATCCGCGCAAAACGCGCCAAAGAGGCGGCTGAGCAGGATGTGGAGAAGAAGAAATGAGCTGTCAATAAAAAATGTGGAAACACGAGTGTGCTGTCTTTTCAGAGCAAACGTATGGAACAGAGCCACCCCGCTCTGCAGCGGGTGTGTGTGCCTGGTGCGGATTGTGGTGGTGAGACTCCCAACTTCCCTGGAAGGGAGTGGAACCAGCACCCTGCAGGGAGGGCTCTGCTGTGTCTGCAGGGCTGCAGCCTGCCCTCCCTCCCTCCCAGTGGGGACGTCCCAGACCTCAGTGGGTCTGCCCCCATGGAGCACTGTGAGAGGGGGGATTTTTGGGGGAACCCACCTCCCTGGTGAGATGTCTGCTGCCCATTAAATCACCTCAGATCTGATGGTGTCCGCAGCTCTGTGTGCAGTTGTGTGTGAGGCAGAGCAGTTGGTGGGTGTCACCCCTGAGGGCTCAACAGTCACTTGCCCCACAAGCCTCACCCCAGTCTTACAGTGCTTGAGGAGGGTAGAGATGTGCTGCATCCATAGCCAGCCTAACCCTACCTCTAGCCTTGCCCTGGCTTCTCTTTATCTGAATCTAAGCCAGTTCTTTAGGGAAATACCTTGATGGCATTGAAGAGGAGCCCAGCCCTGCCATGTAGAAAGGTCTGGGGCTTCTGGCCTGTCCTCATGGGTGTTGTGGGGCTCCTGGGCACTGCGTGCTGCAGAGCAGGGGGTGGTTGGGTCACGGGCAGGGTTGTGGGGTCGGTCTTGCTCCAGGGAGCTCCTGTTTGCTGACTGACCAGTTCTGGGGCTGTTCCACAGCCTGGCTGCGCTGCGAGTGCTGAGGTAATGGAATCATTCATTCTCATCAGCAGGTCGGTGACAGAAACTTGAGGCTCTGAAGCGATGAAGTGCTCCAGTGCAGGGACCCCAGCAGAGCTGGATGAACCTGAGGGTGCTCCAACACCCTGGCAAGGTCTGCCCAGCATGAGCCTCTCTTTGCCCAGTCCCTTCCTGGCTGCGCCATGGGGCTGCAGGGAAGCAGGGTGGCCTATTTCTGCCATGCAGGCTGGGGATTAGCTCCCAAAGCCCAGGGCCCTCATGCTCATTAGCCCTATCTGCATTTTAATCCCTCCAAATATGGGCTAATTATATCATATTTCATAAAGCCAAGCTGGCAGCACCACGGCTCTGGGGTGCTGGGAGGGGTGCCGGGGCATGGGGTGTGGGTCTGGATGCTCCAGCACGTGGGGAGCGCACCCAGTGGTTTGGGGCTCCCCATCCTTGCACTGGGCTGTTTGTGTGTGGGGCTGCACCCAGGATGGGCCCTGGGCACCCCGCGGGGAGCAGCTGTGGAGGGCGAGGGGCTGTGGGGTGCTGGAAGTGTGGGCTGTGTATCGGGGGCTCGTCTGGAGCGGGAGCATCTGTCCTGGCACGGCCTCTTGTGCCGGGGTACCCCTCTGAGCCACAGTGCCTGCTGGTGGGCTCTGCGCCGGAGCCGGCAGCGAGGCAGTTAACGGAGCTTGTCATCTCCCTCTTAGGGCTTCGCTCCCGAGCTGCAGCTTGAGTCAGTTGTGTGGAGGTGGCAGCGGCGGCAGCTCCGGCTGGCACACCGGCTCCGGCTGGCACACCGACCCCAGAGCCGTGCAGAGCCCAAGGCACCAGCACCCAGGTGAGGGGGTTCGGCCGGGCAGGGTGGGATCTGGTGCCCTCTCCACTGGGGGTAGCCAAGGGGTGCCTGTGGTCCTGGGGAAGAGGACAGTACCCTCCGGAGCTGGGGCACCAGAGCCATGTGCTGGGTTGCCTGTGCCGTGCATGGCTTCACTGGGAAGCTTTGGGTGAGCTGGGCGTGCTAGGGCATGGCAGGAGGGCAGCTCTGCCCCAGACCCTGCCCAAGCCAGGCAGCCCCAGGGCGCTGGGGCTGGCAGAGCCCCTTGACGACCCCTCACGGCAGCATCACTTGGCTGAGCATCACCAGCATCGATGTGCAGGGTGGCCCCCGTCCCCAGCACGGGGGAAGTCCCCCCATAACCCAAGTGCCAAGAGCCCTGTCTGGTGCAGCAGGACGTGGCCAGCACTGCCAGCGTCGCCCAGCAGCATGGACAAGGATCCGGTGTCACCACTGCCTGCAGGGACCGGAGGGGGTTTTGTGCTCCCCAGTACTGGGATGGTCACCCCCAGTCCTGCACAGCCTCACAGCCCCACTTGGATGCTCATCCTGCCCCTCAGTGGGGCTGGAGCAGAGCTAGGCATGGCTCCACAGGACTCCTCCTCAGCCCAGGGTGCTGTTGGGTGACCGGGGGCACAGCAGCACCCATGGGGCAGGCTGATGCTTGGGGGTACAGGGCAGCATCACGAAGGGTGACCCAGCTCCAGCTCACCTCGTTGTGCTTTCATGTCTTGCAGGGTTCCGTGGAGCCACTGGGACTGGAACCAGCACCCCACTTCAAACACGGTCCCCTCCACACGCCAGAACATCCCACCAACGCGCCAGGGACCTGCCAGACCCCACACACCTGGCACTGTGGGGCAGCGTGCCCCGGGCATGACGGGTGCCTGCACGGCTCCCTGAGAGCAGCAAAGGCAGCAGCCGCCCCATTGCCCCCCACATGCCCTTCTCCCACGGAGCCGCCTGCCCCCCATCTCGCCCGGCCCCCCAGCGCCCCATGGGCACCGTGGGTGAGGCGCACGAGCCGTCCCCACAGGCCTCGCTGGCCGTGCTCTCCAAGGTGGAGCTGCGGGTGAGCTGTAAGCACCTCCTGGACCGCGACACGCTCAACAAGTCCGACCCCTGCGTCCTGCTGCTGATGCAGTCCCAGGGACAGTGGACAGAGGTAGGAGGGTAGGGGGCTCAGCCAGCACCCGCTGCAGCGGGGCAGGGGCTGGCTGTCACTGGGGACTTGCAAGGGTGCTGGATGCAGGGTTTGTGTCACTGGGATGGGAACAGATGTGGTGGTGCTGTCCCTGGAGCAGCTCCAGAGTGGCTGCGATGCCCATAGGGCTGCAGGTGGGGCAGGAGCTGGTGTGGTGGGTTCAGGAGATGATGGAGAGCAGGGTTCAGGGTACAGAGCAGGATTCAGGGTACAGAGCAGGATGCAAGGGGCAGGAGCTGGTGGAGAACAGGGTGCAGGGTGCAGGAGACGGTGGAGAACGGTGCAGGGCAGGATGCAAGAAATGGTGAACAGGGCGCAGAGCAAGGTGCAGGAGATTGTACAGAACGGGGCAAGGTGCAAGGTGCAGGAGATGGAGAGCAGGGTGCAGGGTTTGGAGCAGGGTGCAGGGTTTGAAGCAGGGTGCAGGGTTTGAAGCAGGGTGCAGGAGATGGTGGGGAGCAGGGTGCACACAGCGGATGCTGGATGCAAGGTGCAAAGCTCACAGTGCCGGGTGCAGGCAGCAGGGTGCAAGGTGCAGGGAGGCTCACGGGGCAGGGCAGGGCACTGTGGGACCATCACAGTGCATGGGGACAGTGCAGGCATCTCGGTCAGAGTAAAGCTCTGGGATACCTTGGCCACCCCTGAGCTGGTCTCACCGTGCTCGGGACCAGGACAGGGAGCTCGGAGTGGGGTCAGGGCTGGCCCTACAGCCGTGTGCCCCTCACTGCACTGCACTGTGGGGTCCTGGCAGTGGGGCTGGTGTTGGCGCTGGGGCCGGGATGGCTCCTTCCCATCGCTCCCCACGGATTAGCTCCATGCTGGCACTGACAGCTCCACGCTTGCTAATCGCCGCTGCTCAGCCGGCAGATTGAGCGCTAAATCCCTCTGCGTGTAATTGACTCTGCTCGACGGAGCCAGAGCTGAAGCCAGGGTGGGCTGCAAGGGGCCCCGTGCCAGGCTGTGCCGTGCCGAGCCAGCTGCGCCCTATGCACCACGCTGTGTGTGCCATGCCATGTTCCACACATGCACGCAGCCCTGGACACGCTAGAGGGGCTGGCACCGGAGGGGCTGAGGTGACCCAAAGCCCCGTGATGGGGCTGTAGGCACAGTGCTGCACGGATTGGACCTGCTGTACCTTGGCCACCCCACCTCGGAGGGTGCCCATGGGGTCCGGATGGTGTGGGTTCAGCAGATGCTGCTGTTCCAGGCAGGTGGTGGGCAGGGGACAGAGGCTGGCGAGGTGCCCTGGCCAGGATGTGTCCCGTTGAGTCAGCGCTGCAGGGATGGGATGTGCGGGAGGCTCCTGGAAGGCGCTCAGTGCTTGGTGCCAGCGCAGCCAGAGATGCTGAGCACCCCCCGCCTGCCACGGCCATGGTGACCGGTGACTGGTACCCCTGCCCTTGGCCAGCCCAGGGTAGGAGCACAGGGGCTTGTCCTGGGCACCAACTCATTGCTCCCACTTGGCTGGAGCTCTGGCAGACTGCGGTCCCGAGGCAGAGCATCCCCTTGAGCTGACCACGGGGTTTGCCCTGGTTCCTGAAGGGAGCAGTGCTTCAGAACCTGAGACCTGGCAGGGCGCTCGCATCCCTGCCTGAGCCAAAAACAGGGCTGCCTCCGAATGCCGTTTGTATGGAAACCGGTGGATGCGCAAGGCTGGTCCTTCCCGGCAGCTGGCCGGCTTCCCCTGTGTCTGCATCCCTGAGCTAACCCTGGCCCTGGATGCGCTCTGACATCCCAAGGCCTCGGGCAGCTCCTGCGGCCCCAGATCCATCCCTGAGCCGGGCTGTGTCCCCGCTGCCCCCCATCCGAGCTCCCTGCGTGCAGGTGGACCGCAGCGAGGTCATCAAAAGCAACCTGAACCCCGTGTTCGCCAAGATCTTCACGGTGGATTACTACTTCGAGGAGGTGCAGAAGCTGCGGTTTGAGGTGTACGACAGCCACGGCCACGCCGGCGTGGGCACGCATGACGATGACTTCCTGGGGGGCATGGAGTGCACCGTGGGGCAGGTGAGCTGGCGGCCCCCACCCCAGGGACACGCATTGGTGGTGTCCCCAACCCGATCCCTCGGCTTTTGCAGATCGTGGCGCAGAAGAGGGTGACGAAGCCGCTGTTCCTCAAGTACGGCAAGTTCGCGGGCAAGTCCACCATCACGGTGAGCGGCACCATGGGATGCATGGGTGGCACCAAGCTGGCACCCTGGGGTGGCACGAGAACGGGGAGCAT